CCCCCCCCCCCCAATAAAAAAGAGCTTCCTACGGCCCTGTAACGCTACGGAAACGACACCGTGTGGATTATTAATAGTTAGGATGAGGGGTCAAAAAATATTTCAGAAAAAAAATAGGGGGTCATAATTTTTTATCAACTTTTCTCTCGGGGGTTCCAAGTTTTAGCATGGAATTAGACATCAGTTCCTCCGACCCACCCCCCAGCTAAAAAACGAATGCTCCCTTAAACCAGGAAACATTGTTTCCTAGCAATGTTTCCTGAAGGTGGGCAAACAAGCAAATATTGTTTCCCGGCACAACCCGAGTCACACTAGTCTAGCATAGGAATTTGTAATTTTCCTCTGCTAAAGAATGCATAATGTTAAATCACTTTAATTAATGAAAAAAACTTTTCAAAAATAGACTGTCAATTTTTGTCACACAAACAAATAAGTCAAGTGAAACTTCCCAAGGAAAACATGTTCGTCTGTACGGGACTAAAAGGTTTTTTATTCCTGTATCTACCCATCTACCCCTGATATTTTCCCATGCAGCCATTTCCATATATATATATATATATATATATATATATATATATATATATATATATATATATATATATATATATATATATATATATATATATATATATATATATATATATATATATATATATATATATGCACTATAATATATATATTCACCTCTGAACAAAAACAAAATGGCTTCCCTTTTCGTTCCGGTTAAAGGCGAGCAAATTTTTGTACTGAATGAAACTGCGGTTTCGGCAGACACGAAGAAAGCCACAAAGTTTATGTTTAAAAGTGTGTAGAGGTGCACTTTGAAGCTATTTCCTAATGAATAAAAATGATAGAAATAACCGAAAGCGTGTAAATACTGTTTCGTTTACAGCTATTACGGGAGCTGAGATACAAATTGTTCTAAAAATATTTTCGATGTTTTTTGGTCATTTTTGTTTTGTTATGGTATGTGCTAAAAAGAATTGTTCACTTCAGTGTCGGTGAATATAGTGCAAGGATATTCACCTCATACTGGTATACATGATCATGGACATGGAAAATTTCCAATCCATCACTCTGGATTCTCTGGATAGCTCTTTTCCAGGAAAATAAAAGTAGAAAGACATTCTGAATTCACTAATTATTTTATTCTTTAACTTTAAATTGAGTACTGTATTTCCATAGAATCCATGCGAACTATACAAGGAAACTGCACTCTATATGCCAGTACTAAACTTCGATTCTCAGACAATAAGTCTACATGTCGCCTGATCCTTCTTCGACAGCACATCTGCTGAGAACACGTCCAGATTTCTGGCATGTCAGGCCTTCTCCACAGCCGCAACTTGGCTTGAAACCAATACCTCGTTTTCCAATACCCTATTCAAAAGCAAAGTGTATAAGCCTATATAATTAAGAGCTATTACCGTATATGAGTAATATGTTTTATAATTACCTCCCAGCCAAAACATATATCGCCGTAATTGCGGGGTGGCGAACATTTCGCGAAATATTGGAGGAGGGAGACTGGGAGAGAGAAGAGGCGGGAGTCGAGGAGGGGAGAGAATTAGGCTCCCAACATAGGTAGTAACCTTTTGTAGACTAGGTAGTAACATAGGTAGTAACCTTTTGTAACATACAACATAGGTAGTAACCTTTTGTATAACATACAAATGGGTAGTAACCTTTTGTAACATACAACATAGGTAGTATAACCTTTTGTAAAAGGTAGTAACCTTTTGTAGCTTGAAATGTTAGTTCTTTATACTTTATTGCCTTAAATTTTATGTAATCCATGGCTTAGTAACTTATATAGCCTACCAATGTTTTCATTGTTGAAAAATTATAGGTACAGTTTTCTTATACAGGTATTCAACTATCACTTAAAGGCTTTCAGAAGTTATTGGGGGTGGGGGAGGGGGTGGGGGTTGGTTGTGAGATCGCAGACAAGTGGGAAAAAGTTTTCCACATGAACGCTTTATCCCACCTGACCAGGATAGTTTTGCCGATTGTGCTGTATAATATAGTATTGAACAGCATTGTTGGAAAATACAAACAACAAATAAACATTATAAATAGACCTATACAGACACTATTAACGTCGCAATGTGTGGTGAAGTTTGTTTAATTACAACAAAAATATTTCGAAGATGCCATCGGCGGGAATTCATCCCACTCCCGGCAATCCGGGCTCGTATGAAGAACAGGCAGGACAGCATTCTTATATATCCTTATTGTATGTATCATGCATGCAGGCAGCAATATGTTTTACAAATACCTACCCGGCTAAAGCAAATAGCGCCTTCCTTGAGGTACTTTCTGCATTTGCCGTACAATAGAAATTTGGCACAACATCCCTCGTCACAATCTTGGTCAGATTTACATCCCTGGAAAAGTCGGCAGTTGTTAGTGCACCAGTCTTCCATGTTCTGTGATTGAGGTTTGATTGATGGTGATGTGATGGTGGCGATGATGGTGATGACGGTGTGGGTGATGGTATAATGGTGGTTGTGGTGATGACGGTGGTGATGATGGACAGGCGGGGGGAAATTACAAATATACAAAACATTTGCCTGACATCGATGGAAACTGTCCGACCTTACCATGCGCTTATTGACAGATAGATAAAGTCAATCTTAAAACGATAAATAAAATATATAGAACTATTGACGAGTATTTTTGGATTTCATTCTTTAAGATATATCGAAAACTCCTCGCTCTACTGCATACATGTTGAATTTAATGACACAAATTTCAATCTCTCATTCAGTTTCTATGATTAAGCATTGATATCATGACAAAATGCATTACACTGAGGCGAGCATGCCTATAGCAAATTACCAAAATTTTAATTTTTAAGTACTGCCCCGGAGAAACAGTGGAGGGATTTCATCAATTTTCATCGGCCGACTGGCTTTACCGCATCTCTACGGAGAACAGTTTAGAATAGACGGATCCACTCACTATAAATAGAGATTAAAGTTGGTTTAGTTTAAGTGGAAACTTACGAAGCTAAAGAGTCTTTTCTCTTCATCTGCAAATGCCACTGCGGCAAAAGCCACCATCAAAGCAACCACGACAAAAGTCTTCATTTTCAAACAAAAAAAACTGGTGCAAAATATTTCCTTGTGTTTTCCTGATAAGAGTTCAACTTGCAATGATATACGTGTTTGTGATACCACCGTTTTAATAAAAGGCAAAATGAACGTCACAACCATCTGAACATACATAATTTTAAAATGATTTTCACTCTTTGATTAGTTTGTCTATGTGTAATTTATTTGCAAGCAATCAAGTGTCTTTAATGAATGTTCTTTTTCTTCAAAAGATTTTTCATTAAGTTTCGTTTACCGAAAATTTTCATAGATAATGGCTATTGATACAGCCTAGGAAAAATCTCGAATTGAGGAGCACGTGTCATCGATACGGTTGGCACCAGGCTGTCCTGGTCAAACGAGGATGAGATTATATAGATGAGAATTGGCAGCCACATAGTGTTAGTATACGGGGGACATTTCATGCTCCAGATTAACAAAATAATCGAAAATAAAGATTTGATGAGTGTTCCAACTATGTTTTTCTTAAATAGAATATATGATAGTGTTGGGAAAGCATGAAATTTTTATGCATGCTTTTTAAATAGAATCTGTAAATTCATTAACTCATGTACATGTTGTGTGTACGTGTTGTTTGATTGTGTAAGTATAGGCGAAGCTAAATAAATTAAAATAAATAAATAAATAAATTTTTAAAAAATATTAAAATACATAAGCAGTATATTAATAATATAAGTAGTGTAGTGTTTTCCTAGTGATACATGTAAACCACGCAATTCAGTTATTGGCTGCAATGAGGTAAAATTTTTAATTAAACTAAACAAATAAAAGCATTAAGAACTGCTAACCAAGGTCGTACGAGTGACTGCCAACTGCATGCACTCTCATCCATGTTTGATCTGGGCTTTACATTTGCTAGGTGAAAATTGGCAAAACATTCCCATTCCGATCAGGTGGGATGAGGCGTTCATATCGACAGATTACTTTTTTACCTAAATCATTTTTTGACGAATTTGAGACTTTTGCCAAAAGGCTCTATCCACTCATTGCGAAAACCAACTCGCAAAAGTGCTTGCATCTAATTAAAATAAGCTGTCGAGCATTGTGATTGGTTGAAAGTACTCGAAGCGAGCTTGTGAGTTGACTCTTGCGATGAATGGAAGAGGCTTATACTTAAGTCTAGTGGAGAGAGGATCCCACCTATCATATGAACAGACAATGATTTTTATTTAGTGTAAATTTCATATGGCAGTACCCTAGTTTATACACGTCATGAACTTGTGGTTAGAGCTCGACAACTGGACTCTGTAGCTCAGTTGGTTAGAGCGCTGCACCGGAATCGCAGGGCTGCAGGTTTGATTCCTGCCAGAGGGCTTATAGTTGCATTTTTTGCAGCTATTCCTGGTTAGGTCTAATAAATGTATGTGTAAAATTTACACTCGAGATTTCCATGATAAACTGTGTCCTTTTCCTTGATCCATGCAAAGCATTTGAAACAGTTGATCATAAAATCCTTATCAAAACGTTATTTATTTACGGAATTCAAAACAAATGCCTTGACTGGTTTAAATCGTATTTGCATAATAGAAAACAATTCTGCGTGGTCAATAATTCAACATCGTTCTTTAAGAAGGTAAATTGTGGGCTTCCACAAGGATCAAACCTTGGTCCTCATCTATTTTTGATTTATGTTAATGATCTCCCTAACAGTTTGGAGAACTCACATGCTGCAATGTATGCTGACGACAGCCTAGTGACAGGCTCTCTCTCTATTCGCTGCTTCGATATATTTAAATAAGTCTTAAAAGTTTTATGCCTGGGTGTGCTGTGCGGAACGCTTCAGCGAGAGAGCCTAGCAGATTTCGGTAAAATGGTCCCTGATTTCAAAAAAGTGGTCCCTGGCCTGGTTACCAAGCATACCTCATGTGTAAATGGAAAATGTTATGGAAATTTCCTTTGCATTTATGATTATAGTCATTAGTTTTGCTCTAATGCTGTCGGAACAATGAAATAGGCTACGTTTTGCTGCCATACGGTCAGAATGGAATAACAGGCTAAATATGACTGGTGTTTACTAAAATATATAGCCATATTAAATGCTATCTAGAAGCTTGAAAATTATGCCGAGTCTCCGACTAAAAATGTTTTGACAACACCGTCATGTCAGGCAAATATTTCCAATCTCCCCAGCAATTTAAACCTGTCAAGTAGAAAGCCTAGTTGTGTATACCAGTATGGTCTAGTGTTGATCACAACTTGCGAGTATATCGTAAATATGTATATAAATTTTTTTAGTTGAGCACATTTTTAATACGGTTTGATTTGGTTATGTAGACATCGAACATGTACATGATGAACGAACATTGTCGTATTTATAATTAAAAGGTTACTTGTATATATAAATTTTCCGCCATATTAAAAATACTGAAATCTGCTAGGCGTTCTGAAGCACCTTGAGCGGTGACGTCACACCTAGGTCCCAGTCTCGTACTACATCCACTTTTTTCTCGCGCTTGCTTCAGAACGACTGGGACTAGGCTGTGCTGACGACACAAATATTACAGCGCGTTCATCCAGTATATGTAATGTGGAAGACTCCTTCTCAAATTCATTAATAATTCATGAGTAATTCAGCCAGTGATAATCACCTATTTGATTACAAGATGCCATTTGGATACTTGATGAAAGTCACTAGTGTTTTCATCAAATATCGTAATTACGCATGCAAAATTACTTGAATAGAATTCCTAATTACGTTATGCTTGGTTAAGAATTCTATTCAAATCAGCAAACGAAAACATTCTGTTACGTCTCGATTCATTTGAGAAGCCATATAAACAACTCGAGCTCGTGTCTCACCGGGATATCCAAACACTTGTTTTCTCGTGTTTGGATATCCCGGTGAAACACGAGCTCTCGTTGTTCATATATTATTACTTAAATAATGAATTAGAAAATATTCATCAATGGCTTCTTTCAAACAAATTAACACTAAGTGTTGAAAAAACAGAATACATGATCATTGGAACGTGTCAAATAAAGGTTAAGTAATCTTTCTCAAAACATTAGTGTTTCTATTGATGGGAAAGTGTTAAAAGAGGTGGAAACAAAAAAGACCTTAGGCGTTTTGGTTGACAAACATTTGTGCTGGGATAAACAGATTGAAAACATCAGTAAAAAAGCTTCGAAGGGCATTAGCATGTTGCGTCGTGTAAAGCCATACGTTTCAACGGAAACTCTTAAACATCTATATCGAGCTTTAGTCCAACCACACTTTGATTATTGCTCGATGATTTGGAGTAACTGTGGCGAATCTTTAAGAGGCAAGCTACAGAAACTCCAAAACCAAGCTGCAAGAGTTATTACTGGCGACTCATATGAAATACGCTCCATATATATTTTTATAATATATATTTTTATAATATATTTTTGAAATACGCTCCATATATATTTATGTATCAAAAGCACTTACATGCCAATGTCCCGAGAACATTTCGGACATGTTTAAACTATCTAATTCAGATCGATATGAATTAAGAAGTTTGCTTGACCACGGTGGGAATCGAACCCGCGACCTTTGGGATACTAGTCCAATGCTCTGCCAACTGAGCTACGCGGTCAAGTCTGTTCGAGTTGATGATATTTCAGAACTGAGTCCAGTTCCTTCGATATCAGTGTATTCTAAGATATGATATTTGTGTGTGTCGGTGTCATGTACTCAGGTGAATATGATGTTTGTGATGTTACTCTGAGTGTGTATCCACACCGGGCAAGCTGCAAAGTTTGCTTGGCCACGGTGGGAATCGAACCCGCGACCTTTGGGATACTAGTCCAATGCTGGACTCAGTTCCGAAATATCATCAACTCGAACCGACTTGACCGCGTAGCTCAGTTGGCAGAGCATTGGACTAGTATCTCAAAGGTCGCGGGTTCGATTCCCACCGTGGCCAAGCAAACTTTTCAGCTTGTCCGGTGTGGATACACACTCAGAGTAACATCATAAAAACTCACGTATCTGAGTACATAACACCAACACACACAAATACGAATTAAGAAGTAACGAAAATAAGTTGATATTGTCGAAGTCAAAAACAAATTCAATGAAGCGAACTTTCGGTTATGCTGCTGCTAAAGTTTGGAATGAAAGAAATAAAAAGTTACTGAATGATTTTTATATAATCGTATCTGGGTGGGGTTGGAGTTACTTTAATAAACTTTGTACATCTTTCTAATATTATTAGGGTGGTTTGGGGAGGGTGGGTGGGAATATCTTATACTGTTTGTAAGTACACGGCCTGATGAAAAGCAACGACAACCTTGTAAATATTTTTTAGTTGATTAGCTACCGTGTTAAAATATGTTTTAATAAATAAATAAATAAATCTACAAAACCCTTCAACTATTATTCAACGAGTGAGACGCCATCAAAATCTTGATATTCAATGATTTTTATCCTCATTAACAACAACTAACGTGAGTGTGCTGATCATCCATATATGGATGCATGCATGAGTATGCACTTGCAGCTGAAAGCTAAGTTGAATTGTAAATGACGCAGCTCAACCTGATTCAGTCGAAAGGATGGCTGGGTATGACACCCAACCTGCGAACGGGCGTACTCCGGGTACGAGATTGGTGGAGCCCTGACTCTTTCCGCATAATTATGCGTCTGAGTCCGCAACAGTGAACTCCATTTAGACTGGAACGATAACTGACTGTAATTTTGCCGCCATCTTTGAAGCCAATATGAAGCCATATTGACGTACAGTGCCAGTCCGTTTCTATTGTTTTTGTAGGCGCGGTTGTCAATCGCGCCTACAAAAACAATATAAAAGGACTGGCACTGTAGGTCAACTCGGCTTCATATTGGCTTCAAAGATGGCGGCCAAGTTATCGTTCCAGTCTAAATAGAGTTCACTGGTCCGCAACGAGAATTGATCTCAGAGGTGGAATTAGGCGCCTGCTCTGACAATTGCGCCAATTGCAAGCGGATCTCACACAGGCGAACTTCACGGTTAACTGGTCTAATACGGACACTATAGCCTGAAGTGAGAATAATTCTCAGACAATAACTTGCAACTCCCAACAGTGGAAAAATGCGATTTCGACCGCATTTTAAAATCGTATCGTATTTGCCTATTTTTGATCGCAATGATACACGACTTAAATAGTCCTCGCGTAACATTATGTAAAGTTATAATCATAGATATCTTATATACACTAGATATAGCGCATCTCTTTTAGTAAAATTGAAGCAAAGAATATTCCAGCGGTTACCCCCATTTGAATAAATGGCGGCCATGTTGGTCGTTCCATGCACTCGCTAATAAACGCTTAAAAACAACAATAACTTTCATCATTTAAATAGTTTAAAAACGTATTTGGAATAGGATTAACTTAATGTTTAAGTTCACTGTTTAAGAAATAGAAAACATACGAATCTTCTCATTTCATGGGAACGACCTGAGTCTCCAATCACGGCTTCAATTTTTGAATTGCAGAATAATTAGATGCACTATCCAGTGTATATAAGATATCCTCTATTCTCCTTTGTTATATTAGTTTTTTTTAAATTTTTTAGGGTGGACTACTAGAAAAGCTCTGACGGGCTTGTTAGTCTTCCTTCCATATGAATTGTATCTTTATATTTTATCAAAACTGTAACTATATAATGGAAAAATAAATATCTATCTATGGTTATAATATAGACCACAGTGTATCAAATCAGTGACGCAAAACAGAAAAACTACACTCTACAGTCAAGCCGATACGACATAAGCGAAAGCGTAAGGCTCTGATTTACACGAGACCGGATGAATTGGAAGCCACGTGCTCACATTCGTCTGTTTCATTCGTTTACAAGGGAATCCGTATGATCAGTTGTGCTTAAAATCGTATACGTCCCGAATTCACCCGGTCAAACTACTTTGTTGTCGACTACTACTAAAATTTAACAAATTCGACAACATTTATCACACACTTGATTTTTAGTCGTCGTCTCATCGATATACCTTTTAGATGTCGCCATATGTCTCGACAAGCCTTTACGTCAACTTTAACACGTTGCTAAACAGTTCTTTTCACTGACAATTTCAGGAGTTTGCGAAATAAAATTCCGATATAAATATTTGTGAATGAACGCGGTGAGCACCCGGAATTAATACCTTCAAGTAAACGAACAGTGCAGTGCGTTTTGAAAGGCTGTAAAAAGCTTTGAAAGGTTATGTCATCTTAGCAGTAGGCTAATTTACGCGGTTCCTGGGAGACTAAAGGCTGCTTTCCAGTTACGCGTTTTTCATGCGTGCGTGTACGCACGTAAAAGTTTAAATCTTTCTCAATTTTATACAAGTACTAAAATACGCTAAATAAAGTATTGTTTTTAAAGGTATTCAATACGTGTCATTAAAGAATATCTTTGTCAGTCACCGTGGACAAGATGAAGATAATTGTGGCAACTGGACATTACCATGTCGTAGTGTAAGACATGCTGTCAAGGTTTCCTGTGCTACTGACGTCATACATATTGATTATGCCGAGGGGAGGCCTTATAAAGAATGTGAACATCTAAAAGGAAACCACACGATAATGCTGGATAAATCGCTATCGTTTTACGGTTTTAATGGAAGAGCGATATTACATTGTGAAGAAACCTACCAATGAAGTGAAAGAAGAAGTGGAAGTGGAAGTGGTTTTGTGTTTATAACTCCAAAAATTGTATTTTCGAACCTTTCACTGGCTAGCCGTGGAACGTTGTTTGAGGCTTCATATGTCATTTTTACTAGGTTTGAACTGGAATTCAATTTCTGCAACATAGAGAGGTCATTGTTTTTTTTTCGGGCTCTAGCTTTATCTTGCTCGATTCAAGTGCTCAACTCCAACATTCGAAGTTATGGATATCCAATAATGATGTTTTGTGGTAACCTGACGGCTCGTCTGACTGGATCAACATTTTTCTCATGTTCAAGCCTTTTGATTTCTAATTCTACTTTTTTTTCAAGCCAAGTCAGCTTAGTTCCTTATGAGACAGTATTGAACGTTCATATCTATAACTGCAGTTTTATACCGATGGAAGGACAACAATCGTGTGATTCGTTACTTTTAATCCACACAGTGTCTGGTATATGTAACATCACAATTAAGTCTTCCATATTTATGAACTTTAAAAATCATGTGACAAGATTGATGGCACTTGGCATAAAAGGTGACTCTACACCCTTGTTGTCAGCAAGCATAGTTTTGGATAAGTTACATTTTGAAAACATCAAGTCTGATCGTGTGGTTTTACTCCAGTTGGAAATCAAACAATGCAATGTTTCTATTTTGAACTCCATGTTCATAAACACTACCAAAGCATTTACCAGCATTGTTAAGCTCTGCACTGTTAAGCTTTACAATGTTACGTTTAACTCTACACATGACATGTTTGGATCACGTGGTCTGATGGATCTTCTCAGTCATTCATACCATTTCTCGTCCTGCCATTTTTTTCAAAATCTCCCAGCGCACGATGTCGATTATCCACTTATTCACACTGAAGTTCAACCAAAATAACGTTTGAAAACTGTTCGTACGAAATTGACCCAATTGCAGAAACTAGTCGCAATGGCAGCTTATCAGTGAACAGCAACAAGTTCTACGTTCTATTTTACGACAACTCATTTACAATCGAAGATGGATTACGTCTTGTTGTGAAAGGATATTTTACAATGCTTTGTCCCCCAGGTTATAGGATGAATTTAAACACCAAGTGTGATAATTCTGCAGATATAGCAGTAAGTTATTGGTTATTTACTGCGTTCTGTGAGCAATGTCCGCCAAAAACATACTCTTTCGACAGAGGAGAAGTTCATAACAACAGGTCCAACCACATCACATGTCATGACTGCCCAGTTGGTGGGAACTGTATTGAAGGCCAAGTGACATCTCAACCTAATTTCTGGGGATACGACTCAAACCAAACAGTCACGTTTCTACAATGTCCTCCCAAATACTGCTGCGATACAGATCACTGCAAAAACTACCATAGTTGCCATGGTAACAGAATGGGTACTCTGTGTGGTGAATGTCCCAGTGGGATGTCGGAATCTCTATTTGACACGAAATGCAAACCAAACAAAGATTGCACGAGTGTCATATTTTGGCCAGGAGTATCTGCTTACTTAATATCTTATCTCTTATTTTTCTTGTACCAGAAAGATATAATCAATTTTGTACAGAAACGTTTTATTCCAAGAATATTTCTGGCTTCCAGAAATGGTCGGAAATCAAAATCTGGGGGCTTGCTAAAAATAATATTCTATTATTATCAAATTGTTCATTTGTTAAGAAATACTGTTCGCTCTGATGCAAAATTTAAACTCTTAGATGATATGGAAACTTTTTTATCTAAATCATTCAATTTTCTTATCATTGGTATTCCTTCCATTGATTGTCCATTCCAAGATCTTCGTCCTGTTCAAAAAGCGATCATTGTTCAATCTGTGGGATATTTAACAATTATTCGCCGAAGGCAAGGTGATTATCGGTGAATAAAAACCGAGACGTAGTCGAGGTTTTTATTCACGATAATCACCGAGCCTGAGGTGAATAATTGTTTTAGTGTAATTTCATAGGTGATTATTTAGAAAAAAAATAAAAAATAGACATTTCTTCGTCATTTAATCTGACAAAACGGCTTCGGCTGCCATTTTGAAAATCGCTTAGGTGATTATCGCGTAATAATCACCTCAACGGCAACCAATCAGCGTGGAGAATTTTCAATAATCACCTATGTAATTATACTAAAGTTTGTTAACACTCCTTGGTTTATTATATCTTTCTATATTTGTATTCAAGGTAGTTAAGAAACAGGGGGCTAGATCTACCCAGCAGATGATTGTAGTTACCGAAACAATGGATCATAGTCCTAATTTGGAAGAGAATGCTTTTTTCGGTCGTATTACAGGGGCGTTTGCCAACATTTCACTTTTAATGTACGCTTCTTCAGCCCACCTCTGTCTTTCCCTGCTTCACTGTGTACCAGTTGGTAACAACCAAGTTTTATTTCTTGATGGTAATGTAAAATGTTACCAAACATTTCAATATTTTCTTCTTGCTTACATGATTTCTTCCATACTTCCATTTTGTCTTGTTCCTGTTCTCGGCTCGTATCTTTTAAAGTCTGGTCGAATTGGTGTGAAACAATTTTGTGCAGCTTGTATCTTCCCTCTGCCATTTGTTGTTTTTGGATGTATTTGTTGCATAAGGACTATCGTTATGGAAATCAGGGAACGTATAACACAATAGAAGAAAATGATGATGCAGTAAGATATGAACAAGATAATGACGAAACACAAAGCCTTAGTAGTGAAGAGAATACCTTTACCTCCTCCACTGATAGGAATGAAACCACTTCTACGAGAAGTGAATCAGCCATTCTTAATGTATTGTTGGGTCCATTTAGACCTCATCAAGCGTTTATGTGTTTTCCTTCTTCACATATTCCTTGGGAAGGTTTTCTTATCTTTCGTAGATTGGTCTTGATTATTGTGTTGACTTTCGTCTACGACATTCAGGTCAGGCTGTTCCTAGCTTTAACATTGTGTGTTGCCATTCTAATCTGCCATATGTCTGTGAATCCTTTTCAGAGAAAAAGCGACAATGTTTTGGAATCTTTTTCTCTTGGTACACACGTGGTTCTGTGTGGTTTGACTTTAATAAAAGCTCTTTATTATGGTGAAGATTCTTCTTTTTCAAAACGTTTGCCTGTGTTGAATGTAATTGAAAAGATTCTTATAGTCGCTCCATTGTCTATCATTATGATTGTTGTTCTTGTTTCTATCGCTATGAAGTTGGTATTTGGTTTGAAGCTTTGTTTAGCAGTCTTAACTCGAAATGCTAGGAGGCTTGTAAGGTTTACTTTGTAATTACTTATTAAATATTCTGAACAATAATCTATAAACTGTCGCTAAAGAATTGAGTTGAATTATTGTATGCACTATTATGATGTAATTTTAAATACATGCATATATTTTATGGTAATTATGGCCTGCGCATGCATTTATTTCTAACCTGCAAGCGGCCATGTAGTAGATCTGCTACTTGCCTATTTTATACTCTGTCACATTTATTTTATTTATTTATTAATTTAGCTTCGCCTTATAAAATATACACAATATAAAACAAAAACAATACATATACATGCAAAAAGTACAGGAGGCGGGGACATCACAACAGTTTACACCACGGGCCGTCATACTCAGGTATACGAATAGTCTCCCTCGCAGCCGCTGGCCTTTATGTCGTTAGGAACGACACAAAGAGTGGCCGCGAGGGAGACCAGTATACGAAGGGTGTAATTATAATGGTTTTTTGCTATTTTACTGGATCTTACTCCCTTATGTGCTCTAATCTTTCGGCTCGAACCTTAAGGGTGTAGTTTTAGATTCATTCAATTCCGATGAATTGTACGCATTTGGTTCACGCTGTTAAAAAGTGATTTTAAGAGCTATACATTTTTCTCCAAGTCCCGAATTCACATTAGAGACGGGAAACTCGTCTAAGACGAGAAACTCGTCCAATATAAATCCGGCAACAGACTAGTTTTCCGTCTCAACTCACTCGTAACATATGATATCGTCCCTCAAGTGAAAAAACTAATATCGCCTCCCCCTTCATATGATAACCTATACTTTATATATTTGCTGCCGCAGCGAGCGAGCCTGAAGCGAGCGAGCAAGGCAGCAGATCCTAATTTTGTTCTGTGGGTCGAAATCAAAATTTTCTATTTGGCGCATTGCATGACGGTATCAGTGGATTTTGACCGTGGTGCAGCGCGGTCAGGCATAACGCAAATAGGCAATGTGATCATATTTCATCTTTGGTCTTCTTTTATGGAAAGCCATAGCTGGCTTAAAGTGATCAAACAGAATTTTGTTGGGTGCTTTTAGCATTATACGGCGGTGCTTTCGGCATTATACGCGGTGCTTTTACCATTATACGCTTTCGCAATTATATGTTTTAGGATTTAAAAATGCTTTGTCATTTGTATTTATACTTGTACTTGTACTGCATCACAAGCCAGTGCGTAAGTGAACAGATTCCACATGTGAGGTTGTCTTGTATATATTTTTGCCTTCTTTGATAAACATTAACGCCTGGTCTAATTGTCCGTTTTTGAAAATGTTGATGTATAAATTATGGATGATTCTAATTCATTACAAATATTTCTTATTCTTGTTCTTTAAAATACTAAAGATTTGGGAACAATGCTATACCAAGGCAGCATTCACTACCCTGTGGGTAAACTAGTTATATATTGTGTTAAGGAACTTTTTAAATTTTGGAAACAAAAGAAAACAAGAATATTGTCTCCTTTATAGCCCATTTATTTAATCATTTCAAACTCTCACAGTTAAAGATCGATTTGGATTTTCAAACAGTCTACATGCGTGTTTTACATATCGCCAGAGCCTTCTCCTGCATCGGAAACACATAGATAAGCTGGGAGACCCAACAATCCACCATTATGGACAAACTTGCATGAAGTTCCTGGTTCACATCCACATACAAGGGGATTAATAGTGTGCTGTGTTAGAAAGGAAAATACAAATTAATACGGTAGAACCACTGATCTGAAAGCTATCCTGGATAGTCCGGGTGTCAACCCGGGAAAACTTGGGGGCACAGGAATGCCATTTTCTGCACTCTGTGCCGCAGTTGGGACCAATGGTTGGGGCTATTTTTCCAGGGGCAGAATCAATATGACTGGAGGAGCAAATCAGATTCCTGGATGGGGGGGGGGGACAATTGCGTTATAGAGTTAAAAACGGCTATGCGGTAAAAATTATCAGAGTTGTTAACATGTCTTGTTTTGCAAATCCAAGTCGCAAGTCATTTAGTCCAAGTCAAGTCATTTGGTCAGAGTCCAAGTCAAATCACATGTCTGTACAGTATATTAGACCAGGATGAAAATCGAAATTTTCACGAAATTCACAAATCTTTCAATTTATTGTCTTCGCCCGCCGTTTTTTTTTTACAGTGCTTTTGTGAGCATGCATTTTTCCGAAGCCAAGACCGCCAAAGGCGAAAGTTGAGGGGGGCACCCC